CGGCACTCCTCGTCCTTTGGTCCCCAACCAGGCAGACATGTGGATCCAATGGTGGCAAAGCGTGAAGTCAACGATTTCATATGCTGTCTCCAGATAGATGGCGGACCACCGCGTGGTGTCTTCCAGTTTAGTGTTGCACGAGCAAACAGAGCGCGATAGTGAAAACGCTCAAATTCAAGTTCAGTTGGGACCGGAACGATAGGATAATCCCGTGAATGTTCCTTCTTTTGCGTATCGTCGGATCGGGAATTGACAGGTTTGCTTGAGGTGTTGAAAAGCCTAAAACGAAGACCGCATCACACCTTGTCCAACCAATTACTGCCCACATTTTCCTGCCCAGCAGTCCCTGCCAGGCCGGTTTATGTGAAGTAAAAGAGTGAAGGGTAAGCTAAGAAAACGAGAGGAAGAATGTCAGCCAAATAATGAGAATACCAAGATGTGAGAAGAAAATTAAAAAACAAAGGGAAATTTGAAGATACAAGTCGGTTAGGAGAAGGGGAAGGTTTGGTACTGCCACCTAAGAGCATCCAACTGACGCTCGAAACCCTCTGCCGTAGACTCCCTAACGACATGCTCCGGAAGCGAGTTCCAACCTTCAATAACTCGACTCGACAAGCGAGTTTCCGTCCTTACCCGGTCAGAACGCAGTTTGTGCAGCTTCAACGGGTGACATCAGAGACTAGGCAGCTTGGCGGAACTAAATAGCCAGGACAAGTCTGGATCGATCTTACCCGTAAAGATACGGTTCATTGTTCAGTGAGTTGTAGAGAGCAGGAGGGAAATCCCTTGTCAGCCCCATCGTTTCCGTATCATAATGGGTTTGATGCGTGTCGTTGCATTGCGACGTTCCTCGAGGGTTCGTCGCAATTGCAGTGACACACGCAAGATTCCAGCATTCTCAGCGAATGTTTGTCTATCAGCCGCTTGAAACTTTCTTCGGATGAAGCGTCTGCAATTTCTTCCGGTAGGCTGTTCCAATCATTCACCACTCTAGTGGATAGGGTGACGTCCATGCGAATTCTGTCTTCTTTGCTTAAACAGTTTCCATGTGTGACCTCGTGTGGAACAGTCAGTGTTGCGCCGGAAGAATTGTTGTAAATCACATCCAAGTTCCCCTCGGAGGATGCGCCTAGTGTAGATGAGATCACCCCGGCGACGGCGGAGCTCGGGGGAGAAGCGATTTAGCTGCTAGAGTCGAATGGGATACGGGAGATCACGAAGCCCCAGAACAGCTTTCGATACACGTCTCTGAACCTTTTTCAGCAGAGGCCATCCAAACTTTGAAAGCGGATGGCTAGCTGGAAGACCATATTCTAAGACTGGACGGACGTGCGAGGTGAACAAAGGTCGGAAAATCTCAGGAGTCATTCGAGCGAATGATCTTCTTAAGGCACCCACCAGTCTCCTTCCAGTGGCCACCTTCTTCAGCATGTCCTGCGTCGTTCTAAGGTCAGAAGTCACGATAACCCCGAGATCTCTCTCGTAGGTGGTATTCCTGAGGAGAAACCCACCAATGTGGTATGCACCGCACGGTTCAGTGCTACCCATTGGGAGAACAGTGCCTTCACCTCGGTTTACTGGCAGTTCCCACTTGATGGACCATTCGTGTAGCTGGTCTAGGACCTCTTGTAATCTGTCCGCATCCTCAATGCTGGATACTGTTGACCATAGCTTGAGGTCATCGGCGTAAATCAAGCAGTCGGTTTGAAGTGCAGTCGGCAGATCGTTAATGTACAGTTTGAAGAGCTCTGGTCAAAGCACTGATCCTTGGGGAATGCCACTAGTCATGGGCACTGGAGCAGAGAGGATTTGGTTCACTTGTACGCGCATTGTCCTACCCCTTAAGAAATCGGCAATCCAGGAGAGAAAATTTCCTGTAATGCCAATTCCCTGGAGTTTATGTAGCAGTCGTACGTGTGGAACCTTATCAAAGGCTTTGCTAAAGTCAATGAATATTACGTCAACCTGTTTTCGTGTATCTATGGCTTCTGCCCATGTTTCCCTGGCGATGAGTAAGTTAGTGATGCATGAGCGTGCTCTTCGGAAGCCATGTTGAGCAGGTGAGATGAGGTTTAGATCCACACAGTGTAGCTGGAGGACGCACTTGACTATTCGTTCCATGGTTTTGCATACGACTGACGTCAGACATATTGGCCGGTAGTTGGCCGGGTCTTGTTTGTTTCCCCCCTTGTATTTGGGCAGGACGGTGCCTTCTTTCCAGCCTGTGGGTAGGCAGCCGACTTCGAGAGATTGCCGAAACACTTGGCAGAGAGGGGCGGCGACGTACTCAGCTATCGTTTTGAGGAAGTTGGGATGCAATCCGTCCTGGCCTGGGGAGGAGTTCGAGTCCAGTTCGAGGAATAGCTTAGTGACTACTTCGGAGTTAATTTCAACTTGGTCCGTGGAGGGGTAGTGAGCAGGCAAACAGTTATTGAGCAGTGGTGACTCCACTGAGTAGACCGAGGAATATTGCGCAGCCAATAGGTTTGCTTTTCATCATCGCCGTAGAGAATGGTACCTTCTTTAGAAGAGGATAGAGCGAGGATTCCACTACCATTTTTGGCATTTCGCTTCAAGTAGGCAAAAAGTTTCTTGGGACAGTTTTGGGATTCCATAGCCAGTCCATGTTCATATTGTAGTCCTTTGTGTCGTTTTCCCAGGGTGCATAGGTTTCTGACAGTTTTGTACTCTAAGTAGCTTGATGTCAGTCTTGTGCTCTTGAAATGATCCCATAGTTTTCGTCCTTTTTTCATTAGGGATCTTACTTCTTTATCAATCCATGGGGGTCCTTTGGATGGTGGTCTGCTCTTGCAGTTTGGAACAAACTGTTCAATGAGCCGCATCATCATAGATCGCAGGCGTTCCCACGCGCCATCAAGCTCCAAGGATTGCGGAATACTCCAGTCCATGTTATTTGCAGTCGTTCTTAATCTGGGCTGGTCAGTGCGCCAGAAATTTCGACGCAGTGTCCCCTTATCGTGTATTGTGAGGCGTCGTGTTCACGAAAATGAGACTGTACAGTGATCACTCGACCCAAGAGGTTGGAGGATCGTTAGATCTGAGACATCAGATGGTGCCGAAGTGAAAACCAGGTCGTGAATGTTTGGTGTCTGATCAGGGATCATCCGCGTTGGCGTCGAGACATGCTGTGCCAGGTTGCACTCGTGAACGGTATCAAGGAGTCAGATGAGGGATAACTGTGAAGAAGGTCCCAGATTATGTCTGGGGTGTTGAATTCACCCATAAGGAGACAGTTTTTTCCTCTGCTGTGGATGCGTACGGAACGTAATAGGTGTGAGCCAGGGCTCTGTAGACCACCCCGACCATCAGCGATTGGTATCCGTCATGAATTCGACACCAGAGCAGTTCCGACATATCATCCTTGTCACAATCGGGTTCGACAATGTGGGTCTTGAGGTGGTTCTTTTTGTAGAGGATTAATCTGCCTCCAGACCTCCCACCAAAGCGATCGCATCGAAGTAGCTGATATCCTGAAACATGAACCTCCGAGTCAGATATGTCAGATGAAAGCCAGGTTTCGGCGAATGCCATTAGGTCCGGTTGCTGTTCAGAGATAAGGAGTGGAATCTCATCTAGCTTGTTTCTGAGACTGCGCACATTCGCGAGTATTACCCGTAGTCCATTCTTTATGTTTGAGGTCCTGGAAGAAGGAGAATTGGCCTCCATCGAGCTCTCTGAGCTTTTTTGATTACGCGAAAACCCACTATGTGTAGATGTGTTTCTCTATTTGCGCGTCGGGTTCGCAGCTCGCAGACAGCTTGCTTCATTCGTACTCGGTCCTCCGGGGAGAGGTCTTTCAGAACGTAGTAGGTTTCTTGCTTGAGGCGCGAGGTCCGTCTCAGGATGCGTTGGCATACTTCTTCATGCTGACAGATGATTTTCAGAGGACGAAACTTGGCTGGGTCCTCTTGTTTTCTGCCAAGGCGAAAAGCAGAGATTAGGTCTATTCCTTGCTCACGCTCATCAAACAACATGGAGACCATTCGTTTAAGGAAGGCTTGGTCATCGAGCATCCTTTCAGCTGGAGTCTCTTTGTTGGATTCTGGGACGTTCGTGATGGTCAGGCAGCGGTTGCGATCAGGCGGCTTGTCTCTTTCCGGTGATGCTGACTTTGGTGGGTATCACTTTTCTCTGACAAGTTCCTCAAGCGGCGCTACTCTATTTAAGACGAGCTTTAGTTCCACATTTTGGTGGTTGATTTTACCTTGGGTCATGGGACCTTTTTCGAATCCCTGTTCTCAACTATGGTTGTCCTCGCTTTTGCTAAAGTACTAGCGCTCGCGACTGCGGCATAGGGTTCGGGCTTATGCACCAGCCCATTCCCGTTCTCACTAAGCAACGGAGTTAAGTCCAAGTTGGTGGAGGACGCACGGCTTCGTTGCCCTTGCGGTGTAGAATACCCAGACCAGCGCAGACACATTGAGGAGATAGGTGTCTCGCTGTCCGAGTTAGAGATGGCTTGCGCGGAAGCAGTATGTACG